GCGGGACGGTTATCCAGGAGCAGCATGGCAGGGCTTGGCATTCATGGGCTCAGAGAAGGGTTTGGGAGGGTCAGGTGTGAGCAGGGGAGTGACAAGGTACAAATGGGGCGAAGAGGTGAGTATACCACTGAGGAGTCAGTAGTACTCTATCTGTGGTTGCATGACTCACTGGAGGATTCTAAGCCAAGAAGCTTCATAACACTGCTTATGTTGGAAAGGCAGCCCTGATTTGGCGAGGGGGCTGTATCAAGTGGGAAACTCAGGCAGTAAAGACACGAGGTGGGAGGCAGCTGGGATTGTCCTGTTGGGAGATGGAGCCTGAAAAGGTGATGGGTGCAGAGGAAAGATGAAAGCCTGTCTTCCTGCTCTCAGCATGATGCAGAATCAGGGAGTGTCAGCTTGTCACTGTTCACACTTAAAGGACACCACCTAGGGTGCCGTGTTCTCTGACAATCTAAGCCACTGGTCTTGGAACATGTTTTTTGAGTTGGTATGCCTTAGAAGGAGTATTTAAAACTGTATTCCCTACTCATACATTTTTACATTGTCATCTAAATTTTAAAAATCATTTAAACAGCTACAAAGGATGTGATTTCCAGCATATTATAAATATTGTCATTTTAAATTTAAACTGGTATATTGCTGTTTTCAACATAACCAGTAGAATCCTAACACTGTAGCATTTTGAATTAAAACCATAGCAATTTGAATCTCATGAGTATATATATATATATATATATATGTATATATAATGAATACACTGTCTTTTAATGGTCAGTTTTACTTCTTTCCTTTTCCTTTATATATATACATATATATATATATATATATGTATACAATATATACATAATATAAGTTGAAGAGGAAAAGGAAAGAAGTAAAAGACTGGCCATTACAAGACAGTTCATATATATATATAATATATATATATATGACATTTAAAAGACATTAAAAGACAGTTAGTTCATATGTATATGTATGAACTAACTGTCTTTTAATGGCCAGTCTTTTACTTCTTTCCTTTTCCTCTTCAACTTGTATTTCCTCTCCATGTCCTCAACAGAATTTTATCTTAGTGTTATGTATTTTGTGCCTGGAAATCTCTCATTGACTACTATCCTATCATACTTCTGTGAAATTAAAATGTGTATATAAATTTACATGGATAAACATTTTTTAAACTTTACTGTGACTGTAAGTTTAAGTGCTAGGAAATTTCTTCTGCATTGAGTTCTTATATTAAAACAATTTTTTTTCTAGAGATGGGGTTTCACCATGTTGCCCAGACTGGTCTCAAACTTTTCAGCTCAAGCAATCCTCCCACCTTGGTCTCCCAAAGTGCTGGGACTACAGGCTTGAGCTTCTGTACCCAGCCCATAATTTTTAGTAGTACACAATTGATCAAAGCAACATATGTATATTATAAATTTTGAAAGATAATTATTAAACATGATAAGAATAGTGAAAATGAATCTCTTAATGAGGTGGCTGGGCTCCCTGCCATTGGTTCCCACTCCCATGAATGACTGTCACTCATGGCCAGATAGCTAGTGCTCAGCCTCCGGTCTCTTCTGAGAAGCTTAAATAAAGGGCTAGGGAAAGGAGTTTGGTTAGTGCACTGTCACTCAAACCTTTCTTCTGAAGTATGTGACCAAAGCACTGGGCTCTAAGATTGAAATGCCTTTCATCATCTGTCATTTGACAGCTTAATTAGGCCCTGCAGTTTTGTGCACAGCAAACAATTGGAATCCAGCTGACCTACAAGAGGATAATTCACCCAAGCTTTAGAGACTTATTTTCTCAGCTTGGACTCCAGGGTTTTGAATGGGGCTTTTGTCTTCCATCCTGGAGATTGTTGGTCCCCGAGGGAGTGTGGCTTAGGAGACCTTGGCCTTTCCTCTGTGAAGGAGGAAGGGTCTTTGTGGACAGGGCTGCACTTCTCATCTCTGGAAGAGCCATTTTAGCAAAGGGTATGTGAAAGTGGAGGATCTGGAGGGCGATTCTCTCAAAAGTATCTGTTTACATCTGCTCTGGGGTCCACACACCTGATCTGGAGACAGCTGAGTGGGCCCTGGCTCAGGCAAACCTTTTCATCAGTATCTTCGATAGTGACAGTGAGGCCGGGCCTGCCGTTGCGAGATGGAACTGGGTGATAGGCTGCCAGGCATTCTGAATGCACTTAATATTTTTTTTTAATAGTTTCTTCTCCCTTTTATTAGTTTTTAAACATCCACTATCTATTTCTAAAGTCAATGTCTGGCACTTGCCTGAGGGTAAACAGCTTTTCCCTGATTAGATTCAGAAGCTCTCTCTGGGCCTATTGCCCTCACCAAGGTTCTCTGCCTTGCGCCGTCCTCCTGAAGAAGAATGCACCTGCCGTCGTCCCTCCTCCTCCAAGTCTTGCCTCCAAGTCTTTTTGCTGGAAAACTTTTTGAAAAAATTTTTGCTGGAAAAATTTCATCTCAGCATTATTTTATTTTACTTTTTAAATTTTCTAATTTTTTTTTTTTTTTTTTTTTTTTTTTTTTTTTTTTTTTTTTTTTTTTTTTTTTTTTTTTTTTTT